CTATTGTTTATGGTTTTTGTTCGCGGAAATCAGATTTGACAGGGATTCAGAACAAATAAGGATTTTTTAAGGGGGGGAAATCATTGAATGACTTCTCCCGCCTCGGTGAGGCGGGTGGGAGTGTCAGACTTACTGATTAAAAATCACTCCGTGCCTACTCCTGCACTTTGAGTGTACTCCACGGCAACAGATATGTATAGGACGCTCATACAAAACCAGAAATGATTTATGTACTTTTAAGATTTAAATTGTAAATTATAGAAAGGTTCACGTTAGAAAGGTTAGTGGGAGTTGCAGGAGGACAAAAAAGATTACAGTCTTGTTTACAACACATAACAGGATTATTACGTTTTCCTAGAAAGTTCTAAATACTATTGAACACATAATCAAGTTAGTGGCATTCCAAGAAAATCTAGAAGCAATAGTATGAAGCTTAGGTAACACGACGGGGAATATTAGAAACGTACTTACATATAACAGGGGACTGTAAATGTAAACAACAAGGTTCCTTGTAGCTTGCGTATTTGTTTGGGAAACAAATTACAGGGCATTTGTTGGAAAACATAGGGGTGCCACCTCGAAGAAAGTTCTATTCGTTTCCAACTGAGGGTTTAAGTTAAAACGTTGCGCCTTCAGTTTTCCATTTTTTAAACATTCGGTAATCTATAGCCTCGTTTCCCAAACCGTTTGCTGAGCGTTAACATGAAGACAATGCAACACCCATCTAAAAGGTTTTTCCCTCAGTAGTTGACATATATTCTAATCTGGTTTTTAGTTAAAAAATCTAGAAGACTAAAAAAGACTAAAAAGAAAAAGAATCAAAGGTAACGTGGATCATTGGTGGCCTACAATGTACCTTCCTAGGGACGATACGATCACAGAAGGGGCCCAATAAGGCTGATGCCGATACGGAGCCGCGGAAGACTCAATGGGTTGCCGGGGCGCCGCCCGGCTCGAATGGCAGGAGTAGGAACATGGTTGTTTTTAGTCAGTAAGAGTCTGACACTCCCTCTTACCTCACCCAGACGGGAGAAGTCATTGGATGATTTTTCCGCCTCAATAAAAAAAAGAGACGATATGATTTATTTTTCTTAAATCACAGCCGAATTCCTAATTAAGTTTTCCAATGCCGTCGACTATACTTTTACTTATACATAGATACGTAAAGCTGACATTTATAATATCTTGTGTAGTAAATAATGGCATGTGCATTATATCGATGTAAACACAACATACCTCATTAATGTGTTTTTATGATACTTTGTAATGTAATGTTATTATCGCCCAGTCGACAGCGGCACTGCTGGGTTTTTCGCATGTTTGCACACTTTTCACGCGAAATAAGTAAAGAACACAATATTTGTATTTAATAATGTTCTCAAACAAACAAAAATATTATTGCAATGACCTCAGAGGTCGGAAAAATATTATAATTGGTGTTATGATTTTTTTAAACTAATTATTTTGTTATTTTTATTCGAAAATTGTTATTCATGTTTGTTTTGTAGCATCACTGAGTCATAAAGTCATGTTAGAGCGCTTCAAAATATTATTGAGGCATTCCTACTTAGTTCAGCGTCATACAGGAATAATAATTATTTAATACTATTTTAATTACCTAACTTTATATTATACCTCGAAACCTTTATAGATACAGGATAAACAGATTTTTTTCACTTTACATAATCCGATTGGCAATACCATAGATCTGCAAGTGACGTCATCGACCCACAGATTCTGTCTCTATAAAGCGAGCTTTATAGGAACGTATTTTTTTTCACAAAAACAGTTATGTCATTTTTGTACTGGAAATAAACACACACAGAACATTGTCTTTTGAGTCCTATGAAAGAGGATAATAATTGGAATTTTTGCTGATCATATATTTTTTTATGGAAAAAACGGAATTGTTTTGCACGTGATCAGGTAGCAACTGTATTAGTCTTCTCTTGTGTCCGTGTGTATTTATGACTGTGTATAATAAAAATACAGTATTACATATTATTATTGACGTCCTTAAGGACAAAACATTGAAACCACAAACAACACGAAACAATGATGCTGTTTATACGTAACATACAAAACAATTATTGCGAAATAACTGTCAGTCAGTCATTTTAAAGTTATTTTAATACTAGGATTGGCCTAAAATTTGCAACAAACGCAAACATAATTATTTTGGTATAAAAAAACATGAATTCATTATTTATGGTATTTACGCGCCAATTTTCCGATGTTTGCCAAAGATAACCTCAAATGTATAACCGATTTTACTTCACAGTAATAAAAGTAGTATATTTCGTATCATAAATTTCCTATCGCCGAGTAAATAGAGTTTATTAAAGAGATAAGTTAATAATGCAAACATTGGAACACATGCGAGTAACTTGTGACTTTGCCCACAATACGCAGATTACAAAGATCGTTCAAAGACAAGAGGTCAACGTTCGCGCGTGATTACACAATGCATGACATGAACATTAATTATTTTTTTAATATCGTAGTTCGTAGCTAAATTAAAACTTTTTGTTGATAAATAGGTCAGTTGCCATGAGCACTGAGTACGCTAATCAGGGAAAGATACAAGTGTACTGGTTTATGACGAAATGAATCTGCGTAAATAAGTAGTAATTTGTGCAAAAATAATAAACATGTGGATTTTAGCGGTAATTTTCAGCATGTCAAGCAAGGGACATCATTCTTAAATAGTACAATGAACGAAGTGCCAATGAACGTGTGACACTGAGAGTTTAACACCCTTTTAATGTCTATTTACTGAGTTTAAGACGTAGAAATAATCGAGTTTGATCGCATTGATTTGATTTTTAATCTAATAATATTGTCATGTCCAATGCCGATGTCATTTAGGTAAGGATTGCAACTTCGAGTTGTATGGTATTTTCTCACTTAAAAAGAAACACCGAAACAAATATCAACAAATGCAGTTGACATGAAAACAAACTAGGTACCTGTGTTTTAAATCAAAATATGAATTTTGTGCTCTCCAAGTTACGATATTGTCAAAATTTCAAAGCATAAAATTATCACTACTTTTACAAACTGCATTCCTAGTCTACATTCTTTTGAATTTTGTTTATAACAAGGTAAGGTCAGATCAGAAAGACTTGCCTTGACAAATTATCGCGAATAGCAAGGAATCCACTGCGATGACTCAGTGACTCAGTAGGTATACAGTATCGACCAAAACAAACAGATAAAAGAAAATACAGATTAAGTTTTATCGCTAATCGAATTAATATAGGGTTTTTCAATATAACAGTAATTGCTTTATCAATTATTATGAGTATTGTTTTCTGAAAATAGCTTTACAGTTTTTAATCTGATTTGCTATATTTAGACAGGCAAACAGGAAAAACATTACCAGTTCTATCCACTTTCTTATTTACTTTAATTAGATATACCTACTAGCATTTGTCGATATCGTGATACATAAAACAACAAACTATTACAGATAGTAATTGAATCCTAATAACAATTTCTTAACGACCTCGCTAATGATTTATGCAGTTACAAAGTGTTATCAAAATTCCTCAAAAATTAAACAAATTATTATCCTAAACAAAATTCCCATGTATGTTGTTTAGTCGCGTGCGCAATTTATTTCTACTGCATAATTAAACTACAAATATTTGAACTTAAATAATGAGTATTCAGACCACATTTTTCCGTCGACAAGAAAAGTTTAGATTTAGAAATCTTGTGGAAAAATTGCATACAGCTATCTAAAGTCCATTCTAAATATAACAATACTATTTATAAGTAAGATAACGAGAGACTGAAATGAAATAAGGACATGAAAGCATGTGACATTGTATTTAAAAAAAAAAAAAACAAATACACGCAAATAAAGATAAATATCTGCGTCGTATATTTTGACAAAAGAAATGAGGACTTTCATTTACCTACTTATAACTGTGAAAATCGTGATTTTAAATTATTGACAGACTTAGGGACGGTAGATAATGAATTTGCGAAACGAATACTAACAAGGTTACCAAAAACATTCAGTTTCTGCCAGTCAAGGGTAAAAGTAAGATACCTATAATAGAATTTTCAATAAAACTGAAGATATTTCATAAGTATTGGACTGTTCACCTGTAGCAACCCAATTATCAGCAACACATACTACACAGTTATCTGTAAGATAAGATAATTGGAGTATAGTAGTGTATGTTGACTACAGGACTACTACATGCAACGATCATTTGTTACTAGACCCGGATTCTATAGGGACTGGCCGACAAACCCCGTGAAATTTCAGTATCCGTAAGCACAAACCCAAATTACGCGAAACAAACGCAATCAAGTAGCGTTTCCTCCAACAAAATAAACCCAAGCCATTGGGAATTCCGAACAAGAACGGATAAAACGCTCGCACACAAACATCTAGTACTGATAACATCAATTTTTAATAAGCCTTTGATATCAGTCGAATGACCCCTTCGTCGTCTACTGTTCGTATAAAGCGGGGGGCGGTGAAGCTCACGCTCCCTGGCATATTAACGAACACGTTACGACTCGCCAGCTACAAGTTTGTACAGAGTACTGCCTCACCCACACTACTCACCGCTTGTATACACACGCCTGTATGAACACAATACTACAACAAGTCACACACACTAAGAAAATTATTAGAGAATTTCGAAGAATCAGCGTCGATATCGGTTGAGCGCTTCACGCACACTGGTAAAACAGTGCGCATGCGTGGTTACCTCTATAAAAAGGCCTCGGTACGTCACAACGGCACATTCTGCACAGAGCATTCAGAGCGACACCACGCAAGTTTGACTAGCAAAGTTGTGAAATCATTGTGACATAAAGTTCGGCAAGTTCAACAGTTTGTGAACTATTTTGGATTGCATAATACGGATTATCTGGAGTTATTGAGTGAAGTGTTTGTGAACATTCCTGACAAGGAGCACACAGTGTTTACTATCAGTGATCAGTTCGAGTTGAAGAGCATCAAACTGTCCAGCATAATGTACAAGGATTCAGTTGTTCCAGTGAAAGCTGAAACGTTCAGTGGCATGGCTGCTAAAAGGTAATTATTGTGCAATGTAATATTTAAACAATCTTTTCCAAAAATAAATTCTGAACGAGAAATAATTATTTACAAAGTTTGACTTTTGTGGTCTTGGTGCAAAATTATAACTAGTGTTAAAATTACTTTTGAAAGTTAAAAAAGAGAAAATATCTAGTGAATTATTTAGAAATAGAGAAAAGTTCAAAAATAGTGAAAAAAAAAACATTTAATCAAGTTCAAGTGTCTAACAATGTGTTCTTCTATCCACAGCCCAATAAGTCAAAGCATCAAGACGGTGCTGCGACGCGCTTGTGTGGAGAAACGACTTACAGTCGGTCTCCTCCCTGCCATCCAGTACCTGTCAAAAAACAGCAACCGGGCCCTCTTCTGTCTGACGGCAGAAGCGCCGCCAGGTGATAGTGCAACGCACATGCAAGAAGTATTACTTCAAGCATTCTGCGTCGAGAACGACATCTATGTCATTAAGGTAAATATCATAACTGTTTCTGCATTCTACTCTCTCCAAACCAGTTCTATAAGGCCTCACAAACATTGTGCAACTTGTCCCATAATTTTATACATTTTCCTCTTGGTTTTGCCAAGGTTTTTATGTACGTAAACTGCCTGACCCCTGACGTAAATTTTGCTTAATATTAATTAATTGACATTGGAATTAACGTACATATCTAGAGAATCTATTTTACATTTGACATGTATGACCTGTTATTAATGTTCTCTCTGTTTTGTCTCCAGGTTGACTCCGAAACTAAGATTCGGAAGTTGTTGGGTGGGTGCGGAGCCTCGATGGACTTCAGCTGTGTCCTCGTGCACTATCCGTACACAGACCCGTTTAGTGATAGTCAAGAATTCGACTTCTCATCATTATCAGACGCCGAGAGAGACCTCATCGAGCACTGCGAGATGAACTGGGGATACTCCCAGACACCCGTCATCAAGCTGCCTGAGAAGTGAAAACGTCGAAAACGTCTAAACATTATGGTTTTTGGAAAAAAAAATATATACGACCTTAGCGGTTCGTTTGCCATTTCGGCCATGTTGGCTGCGGCTTCGGCGTATAGCGCCATCTTTTGTCTAGTAGTTACAATTACGTCTGTTAGACTTTGCATTATACCAGTGTACATTTGACCATTGAATGGGTTCTACTGTTTGTAATTTCTAACTAACTTGTTAAGTTTGAATTGTAACTTGTAAATTGTCTATTGTAATGTATAGAGGATAGACTTGAGGCAATTTCGCCAAAAAAAAAACGTACAAAAGAGAGAAAAAAAGATGAAATAAAAGAAAAACTCTGATTGTAAATTGTCAATAGTAAATATTGATGATATATTGTGCCACGATGGCTTGCTATACGATTTGCATGAAGACGAAAAAATGTCTACTTTAGATATATTATTGAGAGATGTTCGCGAGGAGATAAATATTGTGAATTTTATACTTTTTTAAAGTGCATGTGAAAAAGATGGAATTTTATTAGAATAAATGATATTGTTAAGATAAAAATGTTTTGTTATTTCCTTACATATGACTACCTAACAAGACCTCAAAATAGAAGCACAGATAAATACCCGATTATCAAAGAAAGCTTTTCTTGATAGGTTTCGCATAGAAACAAATACTGCATAATAGCGATATGTAAATGATAAAATAATAAAACAATGAGTCATAGGTGGAAATGGGTCATTTATAATATCAACAAAAATATAAAATAGTACTACAAGTAATTAATCATAATCGTAATCGAAACGATCACAGTCACGATCTTTCAACCAGTCTTCTAGTACAAAGGCCACGCCTCTCTCTCCTATCATGATGGAAGGAGCGTTCGTGTTACCTCGGTTCACGATGGGCATTATTGAGGAGTCTATTACCCTCAAGTTCGATACTCCGTACACTTTTAGTCGCGGGTCCACCACTGCCTTCTCGTCCCATGAAGGTCCCATCTTGCAGGTTCCTACAGGATGGTACGTAGTCGACGTGTAAGACCTCGCCAAACACTCGATGTAACTATCAGTACCCCACCGGTAGTGTTTGCATGCCCTTAACGGTGTCTTATCGAAATACGCGCCCATGGACCTGAACGCTCTCGTTTTTTCCAACCCGATAAGGAACTTGACACCTTTAACTATTGGTATAATATCAGTCGGGTCTTCAAAGTAGTTGGCGTATATCAAAGGCTTGCCATTCGGATCGTCCGGGTTCAATAACAGTTTACCCCTACTCTTAGGAACCAAATTCATTGTCCTGGGAATGAGACAATCGTAGTACGATGAAGGGTAGATTACCACCTCGTCATAGAGAGCTGGCTGACGAACGAATTCTTTCAAGAAGCCGCGGTCTATTTGATATTGAATATCAGGTGCCGGTAAATCAGGCTCAGTCTTTATGAATGCTATAGCGCTAATAGGACCGTTGCTTGAAAGCGGGCCGTGCTTGTGTTCCATCTGACGGTACTCATACAGGTCTTCTAGCATCTCTTGGTTACTCACTCGAGTGTCCGTACCATTGGGTAAGACTACTAGGATACCATTGAAAGTGACGTGGTCGTGTAAATTCTCTCCGACAGCTAGATCCTTCTTAACAGGAATGTTTAATTCTTCCAAATGTTCCCTAGGACCGACACCTGACAACATGAGCAACTTCGGAGAGTTGATACTGCCAGCACTCACTATGACCTCTTTCTTTGCGTAGGCTGTGTGGACCATACCGTCCAGGGTGTACCTCACACCGTACGCTACATTTTTTTTGTTTATGAGGACTTTAGTCACTTCGGCTTCAGACTTGACAGTTAAATTCTTTCGCTTATACCTGATCGGTTGTATGAAAGCATTATTTGTAGAAACTCGCACTCCGTCTTTAGATATAGATTGCGAGTACATCGTGGTGTCACTGTGAGCTCCATTGAAGTCTCCAAGGGGCACGCCTCCTTCGTGGAATGCATCGACCATCATAATGGCTGGTTTGTCAATATTTGGGTATCTGGAAATGTACTGTTCTCCGTCGACGCCGTGATACTTTCGGTTGAGCCCCTCTATGTTGAGATTCCTCTCGGATTTCTTAAAATATGGCAGCACCTTGAATTGGGAATTACGCTGTCTTTAGTTTCGGCAACAATTTTATTGCATCTTTGTTGCTGCAAGGTGCAATGTGCTGTACTATTAAAAGTGCTGGGTGCGTGATAGCGGTCGATATTGTGTTCACAAAATTCCACTGCAACTTAATAAGATCCTGCTGATAGAGGTGCAAGTTGAGCTCTAGCATGCTATATCCAATGAATTGTGCCAAGTGCTCCTTTCTTTAAACGGTGCAAGTCAAAACAAGAGTGCTTGAGAGATGCTTTAAGTGACTTTGCTCACATCTTTGTAGCTCCATCCGTCGTTACCGAGGGCTGCCCACTCGTCGTAATCCTCCTTGCTGCCTCGGACGTACGCCAGAGAGTTGATGGAACTCGACCCACCCATTACTTTGCCCCTAAAATGATTTTATCATGGTTTTGTATGAATAATTTGGATAATGTTTACTACATGGCTAATTTTTCTTAGTCGTTATTATTTACATAGGAGCCAGTAATTGCACCATTTCAATGTCTGTGACACTATTTCTTATATTAATCTGAGATCTGATCGATCACATGCCATAGGTAAGATCAGAAACAACATTTAAAGCTAAATATAAACTATTTCATTGTGAAATATTGCGAAAACTTTGTATCTCTACAGACAGATAGATAACGTTCTTATCAGTCAGTATTTATTTTAATGTAAATAAAAATCACGCACTAAGATAATGCGGCGCCAGCCACCAAATTGTATCGATAGAGAATCTAAAATAATGCAAGTCAATGTGAGTTGGCCAAGGTTGATAAATGCGACATAATTATCAAAAGTCAGGTGTAACTAAGAACATAATAGGGAATGCTGGTGGGCTGATTCAGTAGGGTTAGTCTAAGATAATAAGACTATAATAATTAGGTAACAACATAAAGTATTGTGTGTAGTGATAGTGGTAGGCGTAGCATGTAAGATATTTATATAAAAAAAATATATTTGACCATGACAATTATGTAATTGTAACATGACAAGGGCACGGACACGAGTCCGTGGAGAAATTCAATTTATTATTTATTAAAAAAAAACATAACAGGGAAATAATTATAATAACACGAGTCTAAGACGCGATGTAGGCTTGGAGCTTCGAGACGTAAAATGGCATTTTAAGTCTCAGCTCCTATATAAAGCTACACAGCAAATACGTAGTTTACAACATCGATCACTGGTGAACGTTTACAAATAAAAGACGACACATGGATAAAGAAAGATTAAAAGTGTAAAAAGAAGGGTGTAAGTCATTAGAAATAGTTCATTTCATAGAATGTTATTGTGTTATAGACCCTGACATTGTCTTAATCAAAGAAATGAGGTAACCTTGAAGATTACAAGCAAATCTTCTTCGTTGGAATTTAAGATTTGGAGCAGACTTAAACTGAACTTAGGAAATTGATACAGAAAATGATAAAATACATGACCTTTTATCATTTTAACGTTAAGGTATATTTTAAAATGATCTATCGTCAATGAGTGGAATTTAAAATTTTCTTAAAACCAAGACAGAGCAAAAACAAATTGTAATTACTTCTAATTGAAGATTTGCATCTTAGAGTGTGACATTTAGTTGTAGAAAATCAATCAGAAGCCAATCAATTTCAGTGTTTTCGATTACTTCGTCACTCAAACTGAAATTAGTTTACGGCGAGAAATAAAAATAGAACTGTTCGAGGTCAAAGTCTAGCTTTGACTATAGGAAATAGCTACGAGAAAAGTATAAGCAAGATTCTGCAAGATGAATTTTATTGATTTGAAACGACTTTCGTTGGTAGAGCAGAGAAGAGATGACTTCGTTAAAATGGCGATAATGATCAGGCAAAGAATTCTTGCTGCCTGATACAATGTTTTAAAGAGAATCAACGGGAAGTAGTTGGACTTAAATACTTAACAAATTCGAAACATGACTAGTAAATCTTGAGCTAAAGGTGCTGTCACTCACTATAGATTACATTTGCAATTGGGAGATGTTGAGACCGTTAAACCAGACCGTCCCACTTAGAATGCCCATTGACAGCATAAGAAAGTACCGGCTGAGTTCAGGTTTGAACAGGCACCGTAAAGAAACGAAAAGCAACGAACAGGAACAAACTTGACCAGCTGACGTACACACCTCGATACTACGATACAGTTAGAATTAAAACGTAATTACCTGGCATAGTAACATTAGACAGTGATAAGATAGTGGAACGTGTGCTACGTGGAATGTTTACATTGATAGCGAGGCAAGGGCGCCGCGCCGGAGCAAATCGAATTCGCGAACCATCAGATATTAGTGATAACAAATAAATATTGCGTAAAATGTAATCGGGATAAGAGATCTCTGTGATTAAAGCTATCAGAGCTCGTGACGAGGTTTTATCGATTAACAGGGACCTAATATTGTTAAATAATGTTCGTGTTAATGTGATAAGAATGCTTTTGAACCCTGAAGTTAATTGCTTTAGTCACCTAAGTATCGGTTTTGGGAAAATTACGGTGCATTATGGCGGTTACCATGCAAACATGTTCTGCCAACAATTTCATTTACTTATATACATACTTTTTTATCCGTCTGTAAGCACTGAATAAATTTTGCAAAGGACACAAAAGTTTGTTGGACAGCAGCGGCTGACCAAGTTGTTCATCTGCTTTATATTTACCATTGCGACTTTTATGTCAATTCACAAGCGTAGCTTTTCAGACCAAAATTACAATACGACTAGGAGTAGATGCGACAGCTTTCTCATACAATTCTCAAGATTTTTCCATATTTTAGATTCATTAAAGATTTATAGATTTTTCAGTTTATTAAAACTGCAATCAGTCAAATCCAGCTGTCCATTCTCAAGCTTTTTAGGCAAACAGCAATTGATTTATGTATTGCATGGAAATTTTTTACCTGGGCCATCCGCAAGATTGTCCTCGGCGCGCCAAACAGCTCTTGCCATTAGGTTCGGTGGCGTAACTCCAGTCTATGTTGGAGCCTAAAAGTGTCGTCGCCAAGCCAGGCACCAAGGTCACGTCTGGCTGTTCTATTCCAGCTTCTAATAGTAGCACCTGGAACGTAGACATACATTTTTGGAAATTATTATGATGATTTTTGAATTATGGGTTAACCAGCAATACACTTTCAAGACAGGCTATTGAGGTTTAGCTACAGTGGAGATTCACTTAATTACACGTTTACTAAAGTGTACTTTAATTAAATTAATCACTGAGCAATTTAAATTCGATAATACTAGACAAAATAATTGCAAATCAATCTCTCATAGTTCAAAAGTCCATCTATCATGCATGAGTCATTGAAGGTGGTATGTCAGAATCTACAACCTCTTTTGATGAAACAATAAAAAAGTAACTGGCCCTTTTTGTCGAAAAAATTATTAAAATGCCACTAAGTTTTTCTTTTTTATTGACTATTTTTTTCTGTAAAGAGTAATGGCAATCTTTGTAACTGGCCAGTTTCTTTTCTATTACCAAGGAGGTTACAAAGATTTTTTTAGCGAACTTCTAACAAAAATTGAACACAAATAAAAATGAAGTATTTCTTTAGTAGTTTTAAATTCAATAGGTATGTAGTTTTTGACAAGATTAGACTACATTAAAACATCAGAATTAATTGTTAAAATTCTAGTTATCGCTTCACTCGTAAATTTAAAAGTAATCATGAATTAAGTCATCACTACTCACTTAAAGCATTTAACGGTTAAATTTGAAAAGGAAACAGGCTACATTTTATCGTATCCCTTGTAAACGAATATAATTAAAATTATGTACTTAGTCAATAATGGCCGCCATTATCGTGTATTAAATGATGGTAATGTACTTACGACTTAGATATCGAAAGTTGGAAGTAAGGAGGTTGCCTTCAATTTGCCCGGCCAAGGATTACTGACATTGATACTTATACCTATATCTAAGTGCCGGAAGATTGAAATAAATAATTGTACACTAAGTATCCCATAATAACGGAGGCAACTCAAATAATTTCATAGTATAAAAATAATCTATACTAATATTATAAAGCATACTATACTAATATTGTTTGTTTGTGTGTTTGAACGCGCTAATCTCCGAAACTACTGATCCGATTTGAAAAATTCTTTCTGTGTTCTATAGCCCATTTATCGAGGAAGGCTATAGGCTATAAAATATCACGCTACGATTAATAGGCGCCGAGCAGAGCGAGTGAAACCGCGCCGAAGTAGCTAGTCAGTTTATATATTTGAAATTTTGAACTGATTTTAATCGTAAAGTTACAGATTAAAATTCTTAGTCTTGTCGATCCATAAACAACAGCTTGAATTAACATAAGTGTCTGCTAAAATCCTATTTTAATGGGGGCTGCCGATATTTAATGTTTTAGTCATCAGATGGCGCGATTGTAGCAAGAGGTTTTGTCCAATCACTGCAGCTGTCAAATAATGAACATGCAATGGAATGACTCTAGCCAATTCCCTATTGGACGAAAAACGAGAAGTTCACACTAGCTCCACCTGGTGAGCAAAAATACAATAACCCCTATTGTACCCATTGAAATAATGATGTAAGCTTACCTTCCAATCATCGACAGCAGACAATCGATTAGCGACGACACACCCGGCTGAGCCGGCGCCCACCACTATAAAGTCGTACTCCTCTTTCGATTCCATCTCGATCTCATAATCTTCATTATAGCAGCGTCCTATCCCTTGTTGGATCCTCTTGTCCCTCGATCCTCCGTAGAGCTGCACCACCAGGTTCAGGAATATGAACCCGAAGGGTGTACACGATGACAAGTGGTGCGCGTGCTCGGGACACGCTTCTGTCAAGTTGACAGGCTGCCACTGCATTGTGGCTGGAATGTGAGTTACATAGTTTTGTTTTTATTACAGACTTCAAAAAAAGGAGGTTTTATGCTCGGATGACTGTTTCTTTTTGATTTCGACTTAAAAAAAAAAGAAAATGATCTAGATATGTTCGGATAATTGGGTACTTGCCCACTAGTCAAATTCAATACTTTTTTCGAACTGTCAAAAACTATAGTTTTCTATGAATTTTGTACTAGGTTGTGTATTGTCACGTTTTTTGAACGCCAAACAGCATAGGTACTTATTTCTTCAAAAATTGTTGGAAAGATACTATTATTAAGTTGGTCATAAAACCAATTAATGAAATGATGCGATTATTTTTTAATATTTTATTATATTAAACAGTAGAAATCATTTATTTCTGATTATGGAAAATACCCAATTGTTTTTTTTTCTTTTTGACTTCAAAAAAAGCAAGAACATCTAGGTGTGTTCGGATGACATTTTTTTTTGTGTTTTATAAGAGTTTTTATTTCTATTTAGACATTTATAGTCTCTACATTCAATTGTTACTTCTGATGTTTAAGG